GGTCGTATCCACGTACCACATGACGATCAAATATCCGGTGGGCGAAAACGTAGGAGGAAATGCACGAACATTGAAATAAAAGCGAGGAAATGCACGAACATTCAGTTAATCTGATCGATTACTACCTGGATCATCCTCAAGTCGAATGAGATCAAGGATCTCATCGGTGGGAGGAGGGCAAGTCTTGTGGGTGAGAAGACCACAATGATGGAGAAGATTTTCGTCCCTGAGAAGTGTTTCTGAGGCAACGGTCTTAGAATTCCAAGAATGGACACGTTGCTCGAAAAGGGGGCTAGCAGGAGGGGTTCGAGGTCCGAGAAGAGAGGATGATGAAATATGTGGAGGAGATAAAGAAGCTGCACGGAGAGTTTGATTCCTTCGAGCTAATCCAAATACCTCGAGGAGAAAATGGTCGAGCAGACTTATTGGCCAAATTAGCGCAAAGCCTGGTGGACTGCAAGAGCAGGAGTGTGACCTTGCTGCACATGGAGGAAAGCGTGGTCGAGAATGAGGTGCTCAAGATGGAAGAGGTGGAGGATTGGAGGACGCCGATAACGAAAGAATTAAGAGGAGGGGCTATTAAGGTGATAAAGAGATTCTTCGAACATGGAGGGATTCTCTATAAAAGGTCGCATGCGGGTCCTCACTTGCGATGTGTAGGCCGAGAGGAGGGGCGATACGTGCTGAAAGAAATCCATGAAGGCTGCTGTAGTGACCACAGCAAGGCAGGTTCCTTGGTTGCAAAGGCTCTACGAGCAGGATATTTCTGGCCAACAATGAGGGAAGATGCCAAGGAGATGGTGCGGAGGTGTTTGCAATGCCAGAAGCACGGCCCACTCATTCACCAACCGGCCGAGGCCATGACAGCAATGAGTTCTCCCATCCCATTCGCCCAATGGGGGATCGACCTAGTTGGGCCAATGCCTCAAGGAGCCGGACAGAGGAAATTCTTGATTGTGGCGGTCGATTACTTCACAAAGTGGGTGGAGGCTGAACCCCTAGCAAAGATCACAGAAGAGAAAGTGATACATTTTCTATATGATAACATATGTTGCAGGTTTGGAGTTCCTAAGGTGTTAGTGTCGGAAAATGGGACACAGTTCAACGGCAAGCGGATTCGGGCATGGTGCGAGGACATGAAAATTGATCAACATTTCGCATCAGTTGCACATCCGCATGCCAACGGGCAGGTCGAAGTGACCAACAGAATTATACTGAACGGTTTGGAAACAAGGTTGGAGAGGGCATCAGGAGCATGGGTGGACGAGCTTACCTCGGTGCTA